TCCTATTGATCAGAAGCATCCAGCAGCGCCACGCCAGTAGAAAGAGTTAAGCTACTAAGCTAAGCTGCTGTTGGGGAACTCGGTAGAAGCGATTTGCCGCAGATCCACTCTGGTTTCGTCCCGAACCCCCCTTGTCACTTAAATAAAGGGCGAAGTCGCCGAAGCGAGTCTAAAGGCCAAAGAGTGATCTTTGAACGCTACTACGCATCCTTACTCATAGTAGAGTGTAAGGTAGGTTTGGGTATAGCAGGACTTGAACCTGCGACCATTAGGTTAAAAGCCCAATGCTCTACCAACTGAGCTATACACCCAAAAAAAGATGTAGTAGTACATAAGGATTGGTGCGGAAAAGAAAAGAGGGCGGCCCCTCTTCTTCTCATCATATTAAAGGGGCGCGGCTCTGTATGAGGCTCGTACTGCAGAGCAAGCGAAGAAAACGTAAGGGCGCGCGTTAGCACTCCTGCAAGAAAACGGCCTAGCTAACGCGCCCCTTATTGAAAACTCAAGGAAAGCCTTGATCGATATGAGAAAGACGCGCTCAAGCACCCAACCTAGTAAAGGGGCTTGGGCTCGAAAGCCGGCCTTACTCAACAAGCACCTTTATTAGTAAGGTTGCTTGTTTCCACTCATTGAAGATTTTATCTAAAAAAGAAGGTCAACGGGGGATACAAAAATTGCTCTCACTGACATCATCTACGAGAAGGTGAGGTCGTCTTTCTTTCCAGCCGCCATACGGTTCGCCTTAAAGCCTTAAAGACGGAGAAGGGGAGGAGCAGTTATCTATGTAATTACGGTCTTTGTTGGCCGTTGTTCCGGTCGAGCACTCTCTTTTCTTTGTCCAATTCCGTCTTACCAAACAAGACTGACTTCTTACCAACCCGCGAAGGGTTGTGAGGCTGAACCAGATACGAAGAATGAATCTATATCTGTGCACGGAAGTTGCTGGCCGACGGCCGCTCAACTCTTCGAGCGCAATGCAGTGGTGGTTGGTTCCGATTCGACAAAGGTAGAATGCCTGGTCGAAGGTCCAGTACAGTAGGTAGCAGGTGTGTTCGTTTTGGCTCCCGAGCGAGAACGAGAAATAGGCGATGCACCATCCTTGCTGCTACGTACGTTGACCTTGACTTGACAGATTCATCCAATTGAACCCACACTCAAAGGAGGACCACAAGCTCGGGGCTCAACGAAACAGAAAGTATCAGCATTAAGAAACTTCTTGGGGTTAGCAGTGAAAGAAAGAGCCCGGCATTCATTTCTTCATTCATATGAATAGCGGAGTCTACTAAAAGAGGGACCAGCCTCATCGTGGTGATTAGAGGACACCTCTGATCGTTCACCTCTAATGTGACACGTTCCCTCCCAGTTATATGATCAACGAGATCAGTCGGCTAGAGAGCGGGGCTATTCTTCTTCCGGGGAGACAAAGTAGTCCCTTCTACTGACCGAACCCTCAGTTCGGAGGTCTTCGTCAACATGTTACGAAGCTCCAGTCTTCGGCGGGTCACCATTACTTGACTTAGAAAGGCGAACATCTGGGCAAGGGAAAGCGCAGTGCGCCTGGTGCAAATGGCTTTCTTTTTTCATGATATACCAATCAGAATGGAGGGTCCTACCTACGTACATGATTGATAGAATCACTACTACGGGGGGGCGGTCAACTTGATGCGGGAGAGGCATGAGTGCAGTTCGATCTTGTGGTGTATTCGTCTGTAGTGAGTAGGGCCTCTTTCTCGTTGAGAAGTTCGCCTCCGCGGAAAGGTCTCCATTCCTACGGCGGTTTTGTCAACGAACGCGTCTCGGGCCGGATTGACTAACCTAACCCTTAAGGTAAGGAGGCCTTGACATAGTTGGGTGTTCTGCTTTAGTGTGATTGACGAAGGCTAGGCTAGGTTTGGTAATACCCAAAACAAATGAAAAGAGATCGGGGTCGATAGTTGGCAAGGAACTTGATCCCCCCGCCCCCCCCAAAAAAAAAAAGGGGGCAGCTGCGGTCGAACTCTAATTCTGGAAATAAGTCGGGGCCCTTTCACTTCGAGTTCCTTCTTTCGTAGTCAAATCTGATGATACGCTTTGGCGATGTTACCTACCAAATAAAAGGCCTGCTAGGTGATCGAAATCGCTCAGGTCATTGAGGACTCACTCACTCACCTACTCTTTATCTATCTAATAGTTTCTTCTATCTACTGAATTCAAAAGGCGACCCGCCGCGCCGGGCTATAAGATAAGATACAGCTCTTGTACTACTTGACTGGTAAGAAAGAGCTTCCGTAAGAACTGGAAGACTCTTGTATGTACTGTAACCCTCTCTTCCGCTACTGGTGGACTGTTGCACAGAAAGGCCGACAGAAGCAACGCTCTTTTTTAGTTTCATGCTGGCCTAATGAATGAAAGTAAGTCTTTTAGTAAGCGTATATAAGCAGCAGTTTAGTGTATAAGCAATTCTTTAGTGGCTGCACCGAAAGGTACGTACGGTGGAGGTTGGTTAAAGATGATGTTACGCGGCGTTCAGAACCAGCCTTGAAGTGAATGAATTAGAAAGAAGAAGTAAGGAAATGAGACGACTTTTTCTTGAACTATATCATAAACTGATCTTCCCCTCCACACCAATCACGAGTTTTTCTCCATTCCTCTCGTATATCGTCGTAACGCCCTTAATGCTAGGTTTTGAAAAAGACTTTTCATGTCATTCCCATTTAGGTCCGATTCGGATCCCTCCGTTGTTTCCTTTTCCTCCCGCACCTTTTCCTCGAAATGAGAAAGAAGATGGTACACTCGAATTGTATTATTTAAGTACTTATTGCTTGCCAAAGATCCTACAGATGTATGTCGTCCGACCCAACCTCAGACTCTTTCTTCCCGATCTATTTTACTTTTTGGCCGCTGTTATTTAGGTGGTATCCCGAGATTGAAGAGATCTAATTCCTCCCGGGAACACACGAATGAAAGATATGAACTAGGTAAATAGAAATGGAAAAGAGATGTTTCCAATTCAAAAAAATCTGAAGCTTTTTCTACATCCATATGATCTACTAAAGTAGATCGATATTGCCCATATAAAATGAAAGCAGATCTTGGGCCATGGAGTCCCAAGAAGGCAAGAACTCCAACCTGTCCGATGCTTCTTCGGCCAAATATGATATACAAGTTGGACCTGCACTATGAGCAAGCTGTGCGAAAAACCGCTTATTTTTTCCGGTTCCGAAACAACTTGGGCGAAATAGGGTTCTACCGGGAAACAAAGGATTTTTGAGTTTTCTCCATTGGTTACTGGTCGAGCCACTGGAATGGAATAATATCAGAATCTCCGGGGATCTTTCCTCTCCACTTACTCGATACAGGCTTTCCCTCTGTAGAAGACTTCTTCCGAATGGCATAATTGTCCGATTTATTCCTCGATCTTCAAAGAAGACTGACTCCTCCAAAGCGCATGGCGCTGAAGTGAAGAAAGCTCAATAAACACACACGAACACAATACAGGGCATAGCATAAATGAGACCGCTGATCATTTCATAAAACATATATGCTTGACCTTTCTCGATGCTTTTTTTAGGGTGACTCACCAACCGACCCAGCAGTGATCGATGACAGAATGGTACGAACAAATCAAAGTCATTGGATTTGGTAGTTATCCATTGACTTCTCTCTTTACCCCTTTGCATATGTTCCTAAATGGGTGTGCACCTCCAGATGGGCAGGGGCCGGCCTCCCACTCTCTTATGCAGCATTTATTAGCTTAGCTGGGTTGGGTGGATCGTGCAATAAGTCTCTCTCGACCTTCCGTTTCTCATACGTCTGGCCCATCATCAACTCAGTCAGATCTTCTTGTTTGCCCGCTTTGATTAGGCTTCCTTTAACGGATTTGATTGGCATTTCGTGCCTGCAGCCCTTCTCCTGAATGTTCTTTTGAGCTTGTGCCGCCGTTCCCCGGTTTGGGGGATTAATTGATTGGATACCCGAGAACCATAATCTTTCCTAGGAACAGCTTCTACGACGATAGATAGGGGTCAGCTTTCTTTGGCATCTATGCCCCCTGCCCTCCAAACAGTATGGGAGCCTTTCAGCTCGTACTGCTCACACTCCTAGATCTTCACGGCACCTCCTCCACCATAGTGTGAGCTGCTCCCAGCGGAGAAAAGCAAGGCCTACTTCGAAATTCACTTTCAACAACGTCAACAACACCACGAAAAAAGTCAACAATGGTTGCCCACTAATCTGATCATAGGTGAAATCCAATCCCTTCGCTTCGCGCCAGGCTTTGAAACCGGTAAGTCAGGCTTCGGAAATGGCCGGATTAGCAGGAGGAAGGTCTTGAAGAGCCTGAAACAAAGAAAGGTGTACATAAAAAAAGAGGCTGGTTATGGCCTTTACTTGATAGGACTCCTTTCCCATCTATCTTGACCGGGAAGAGGGGATAAAAAACCTTGCGGAAGCCCTGCCCACCCTTCTGGATCCCTCATATTTATGATTCCAGGCTTCCCGGACTCGTAATAGACGGCTAAGAACAAGAAGAGGGTTAGTAGTCTCTGCCGTTGCAGGTCCTTCTCCTTCCGCTGAGACGGCCCTCTTTTTTTGTTTGTTCACCGCGGCACGAAATCATGAAGAAGCTGGAATAACTCAGAAAGAGAGTGGCGCCTAGCCGTTGAGAGCGTCTATTATCTTTGTAGAGGAACAGTACGATCTTGGACTGGCCCCCTTCGCATGACCTAGAAAGATAAAGAAGTCCATGCTACTATAAGGCCTCTAAACTCCTCCCTCAGGACACTATTGCGTTGCCCATGGGGACGGGGTAGCCCCGACTTCCATAGGTCCTTGGTTCGACCTCCTAATGAGAATTGAGGTCCTTGCGCGGGCGTCTCATCCCTAAGACTTGCTTGCTCTGTATGGAGTGCCCTGTGGTTCCTCGAGTGCCAGCCGCAGAGAGGAATGCCATCAACTAGGGCGCTATTGGCCACTAACCACTCGCTCGCCAGCCGCTCGGGCTCCGCGTTTCAAGTTCGTTATCCTAACCGTCCCCTCTGCTCCACCGGGTGCCTGGCCCCTTCTTCTATCTTATCTACTGCCTTGCTCCTCGGCTCCCTACAGCTCCAGCCGCTCGCTGTAATAGCTTGCTTCTCGGGTGGCTCGCACCCCGTGGTGCGGCTGAGCCAGAGTGGGCTCAACAGTCGGCCTATGTTTCCGGGCGCACGCGTAAAGGCATGATTAGTTCCACAAATCTCACTGCACTGACCATAGTAAACTCCTTCTCGTTGTACCAAAATAGAGATTTGGTTTAAACGACCAGGTACAGCATCACATTTGACACCTGAGGAAGGTACAGCCCAACTATGAGGTACATCAGCAGATGTTACAATAATACGTAGATGAGTTTTGGCTGGTACAACCACTCTATTGTCCACTTCTAATAAACGTGATTGACCCAATTCTAGATCTTCTTCTGGAATCATATAACTGTCAAAAGTGAGTGACTGCTCATCGGAACTGTTATAGTCAGAATACTCATAAGGTCACCCTTTTTTTTTTCTTTTTCTCACCAGAATGCATGTGAAAATCAACTAACCGGCCGGTGAGTGATAGTTTTCTGTCTCCGCTTGATCCCAGTTTCCATTCTCCTTTCTGAAGGAGGTGAGGTTCGGGTCGGAGGGACGGGGCGGAGCGCTCCGTTGTTCACCGCTAGTTTCTAGTACAAGTCTATCAGAAGTGGTTTCGTTTTTGTTTTAGTATGGTCCAGATCGTCGGAGCCCGGAGCCAGGTGATACCGCGATGGATTGAGCGGGGCGGGGGGTGCGAGCTTCCAGTCGAAAGCCTTTCGGTCACTCGCATTAGGGCATTCCCATCGCTTCTCATACTACTCCCTCGCCCTGACTGGAAAGGAGACATACGACTTAGTCGGCCCTATTCATTCCATTCCTGAAAGGAGCAAGCTGAAAAAGCCCTTTCCCCTTTCTCTAATAAGGTAAGCTTCATAGCTCCAACCTATACAAGGCTCATCTTTTTTTTTCAGAAAAAGAATAGAATAAAGAAAGAGATAGTCTATATCCTGTATCGATCATAGGATCACTCTATGAATAGGTCAATTCTCTGTGACCCCCCACCGTTCACGACATCCCTTGCTTCTCGCTGCGAACGGCTCCTCGGTGGAGGAGTAGAAGCGCTGGTCCCCTTCGGTCAAGTTGCTTGTGCCTGCTGTTACCTACCGTAGGACCTCCGTCCCCGAAGCGAAGAAAGAGGAGCAGGAACAAGAGGTTGTCCTCTCCCGGCCCAGTAGTTCCGCAACTACTACCGTGGTTGTTGCCAACAGGGATCCCCCATTCCGAAAGGTTACTGGGCCGGCCGTTAGGTCCAAAGTTGTATGCCACTGCTATGGTGCCGATAGATTCACTACTTCAGCGCCGTTATCGGACATTGCAGGCTGAGCATCTATTTCTCGTATATCGCTCCACACCGAGAAGAGGGATGTGTACCTCCAGCAACAACAAGAATGGAACCATAGGCTCCTATGCTGGAGTGGAAATGCCATAAAGCGCGAACCAAGATCCATAATACGAAAACCAAAATCAGAATGAGGAAGAAAAAGATATCGTGATGTAAGTCTATTATTCCTTGCATTATAGGTGTAGCTGCGTCTTGAGATCCTAATTGCCATGGTTCCGCTGCATCACAAGGAGAAATTGTGAGGAATAACCATTTGAGAACAATCATTTTAAGTAATTCTAGATTTTTTGAGCGGGGGAAGCGATTCAAGAAGTTGCTAGCCGGTCTTAGCCGAACATAAAACATTCCAGCACCGGTAACCACACTCATTAGTCGCAACCGCACCGATTATAGGCCAGTTCAAGGTCAGTCGTGAGCTTGTAGGCTCAGATAGTAGCGAACCATAAGAAATTCCCGTAGTTGCATAAGGGGGACGTTGATAACTTTCCAGCAGATAGTATTCCATACTCTTATCAAAACGAGCACTATACTCTTTCTTAGTTTAGGGCAGAAACATACTCACGGAACGCAAAGCGAACCCTAAATATTTCATATTACCTCACCTCAAAGGTTGTTTACTCAGATATTTCTTATCAAGATTCGTTTCAGGCGAAATCAAATCAGAAGCGATTTCCGCACCCCTGTCCGGTGGTTTGAGAAAGAAAGTCGAGACATTCTGAAAGAGAGTTCTGGCATTTCTAGCATTGAAAATCCCTTTTCTTTATTCTTATTGAATAGTGAAAATAACAAGTTGAACATACCTATTCTTGAAAAGAATAGCCTCCTCTTATCGAAAAGAAGGGTCCGAAGAAGACAGAACTGGCCATCCTTCTCATCCCCGAAAGGAAGTAGAGCGCGGTGAAACAATTCCGTCGTTCAGTCGAAGGGGACAGGTTAGCAGCTTCAGGATAACCCGAGCAGTGAAACAGAAGTAGGGTTCAGGCCAATCGATCCTATTTCGATTATACGGCAGGGTTCTAAACCAAAAAGGACATTTGAGAACTTGAAATGAAAAAATAGGCTTTGATCGGTCAACGAAATGCTCTGCTTTCAAGCCCGATAGGTCTTTCTCTTTCTAGTTAAAAGCTGTTCAGGCATCCGAACAGGGGTTTAGTCAACTAAGTAAAGTATACCTTATCACTGCACGCTTTCGATATCTCTGTCTCCCATCGTAGGCCCGCCAGTGAGAGTCTCGTCAACCATTCCTTTTACATAGCTCTTGAGCAAAAATAGATAGAGGAAGAGGAAATAGTCGCTCAAGTCTCGGAAACCGTTCCCAACATCATCCAGGAAAGCCCATCACTTGGCCTCTCCATGAATGTGCATGCCTAGATCTTCGTCATTCTCTATTATGCTAACTGTTCGTATTTCGTTCATTCCATCGGTATGCTCTCAGGTACCTGTAATTGTGATCTGTTTGCCAGAACCAAGGGCTCTTTCTGTGGAAACCTTCACGAACAATCGTCGTTTTTTGATGGTTTTTCCGCTTCTCCAGAAAAGAAAGGACGAGTCGTCCGCTCCTCAAAAATGGAAGCTAGATATATTAGCTCGAGTTGCTTCACTCCTAGTTCTGGTGGGAGATTATGAACACGAGAGCCCTACTATGTCTAGAAAAGAGTCTCCCGAGGTACTACCCCTATAAGATTCTACTCTAGTAACTGAAACTCGCCTCTCTGGTCTTCCGAAGAAAAATAAGTAAAGTCGACCAAGAATCTCTGCTGACAAATCTCTTGCCTAGAAGGCCTCTCACAAGAACAAAATAACGCTATTCGTTGAAGAAAGGCTATCCCCTCTCTGTCAGAAGAAATCTATCAACCGGGACAGACAAGCAGGACTTTCTAACGTCACTTAGCTCCTTCGGGAAACCAATCGGGGGGAAAACTTCTTTCATAAGTCCGGTGAATCAGGATTACGCTACCCTTACCCCCGGTAATCCTTCTTTCTTGGGAACTCGAGTCCTCTTTCCCCTTTCAGGTCGGGATTACCATGCCAGTCAGAGAAGGAAAGAAATCCATTGGAAGCAGCGAGTCCTACGGTTACACCACCTACACCCTATCGAAAATCCAATAAGACTGACACAGCAACCTGCTTCCAAAAGTGGATTAGGGCCTTTCACTCCAACGGGTGGGGCGGGTCACTTCCACTCGCTGGGACAAAAGATAGATAGGAAGCAAGACGTTCTAAAGAAAAATGATTCTTAATCTAGCTTTCCGAAAAGCTAAGGACGAAATCTCTTGTCAGAGGCCTTGAATGCTACGCAGTAGCAGATCATTAGAAATAGGATTCAAAAACATCATCAGTGCGGACAGATAGATTTAGATTGATCATCGATCGCTTTCCAAATCACGGTGTCTTAAGCCCTCCAGCAGTCGATTCTTCTTCAATTGCTAACAGCCAAAGAGCCTATGATATTAGGCCAACAGCGTCTTCGCTGGTTTGGAAATAGGAAAGAAGTTCCCCCTCCAACGAAGTCTTTCGCCTATTGAGGAGGATCTTCCATTAGTTGGAAAAGCTGATAGCACAACTCAACTTCCGACTAAACCTTCTTTGCCGACGGATTCCCAGAGCTGAGAGGAGGAAGGATTTTCTGCTAATTATCTTACTATTCTATTTCAATTCCTTCTGAGGAAAGGAAGAAAAACCTTCTTTAGAGTTCCTGGGCTGAAGACTATCATTTTTAGTTGAGAACAGAGGGTATACGAACCGAAAGACCAAGGGCAAGGAGCGTCCGTGAGTTACTTTCTCAAGGAAATGGGGCAAACTGCAAGGAGTTTTCGACTAAGACCTTAGGAAGTATAGTATGATATAGGAGTTTCCCCGCTCAAAAATCCCCTTAGCGGGATCCCCCCTCTTTTTAGAATCAGACTAAGGCGTGAGCGAAATTAGCTACTACTATAAGCTTGAGCTGGAGCTACTAACTATTGGAATTGGGCATGTCTTGAGTTCTTTAATGAAAATTCATTCTGTAGCCATAAATCCATCATTAAGTCAAGAACTATTCTTCGGTTATGCTCTTTCTCTGCCCTAACCGAGGCGCCGATGATGACAAATCCTCTTTAGTATTCTGATCTGCTACTGCATAGCATTGATTCTCTTTATGATCGGCTACTTCTTCTTGATTGAATCTCGAAGTCCTCAGTGGTGGTCCTAGGATTTCGATTAGGAGAGTGACTTTTCATTAGGAATTCATTTCCTTTTTCTGTCACGGGTTTTTAGTAGAATCAATATCAGATTAGGTACAGAGGGGGTAAGAGGAAAATCCGTTTTTGCTCTCCTCACGCAGCATAGAAAAATTGGAATTTCCGAGGTGACCTTTTTGCTAGGAAGTTTTTCTGTCACCAACAGGTAAATGTTCAAGACGAGCACTCAAGCACCCCAACTCTACTTGCTGGTCGAATCTTGATGCTCAGCGCCCGACGTCTCATTTATCTTACCAAGCTCGAAAGGATTTTCTCCTCTTCGTTTAGCAGGTAGGGAAAAAGCAGAATGATCAATCAATCTGTAATCTATAGTAGGGTATCTCAATTAGTAGACAGGGTGACTGCTTTCTAGACTTTCGTTTTCATCCAAAACGAGGACTTTTCAGCTATATAAAACGTCAACTTAAACTACGTCCATCCCAAGAGTGGGAATGAAGATTCACAGCTATGCAAAATCTCAATCCCGGGACCTGGTGTAGACTTCCGTGCCGGAGGGTGAGCCCTTTCTCGTCTTTCTTTCCCCTGATAGCGAATAGGGAGTCGGTAGCCCGACCGATATATATAGAGAGCGAACGTAGCGACCGAGCGAAGCGAAATTTCTTTTTTACCGAGATGGCTATTTGATTTTGTTTTGTTCGCCAAGCAAGTCTTTTCTTTCTTTGTAATGACCCCGTAGGGAGCTTCTCCTCCTTACTTTGATTTTCGGAACTGGGTAGCAAGAACAGCAGTTTCCTTACCCTTGCCTGTACTCGCTTTTTATCCCTGAGTCTTTGATCAAGGAGTGGCTCACTGTCCAAAACTGCCATGGAATTATCTGGAGCCTTTTCTTTTTTTAGGAGTTTTCTTCTTCGGATTTAGGAGTCAGCCTTTAACGAAGAGGAATGAGCTCCCCTTAGCAGACCAGTTAGATTTAGATAGGAGCCCTTTTCTCACGCCAAGAGCAGGGTTTTCTTGCTCACTCGGTAACTAGATTCGGGGAAGGTATCGGAGAAAGGGCTGTATTGAGAACTTTCTATCTCCTCTTTTTCAGTCAGGGAATTTCCACTCTTTTAATCTGTAGCGCAACGAGGTCTCAACGAAAGGAGCTAAGGAGCGACTAAAAAAAAACCTCACTCGAGGAGAGGAGTAAGCTAGATTCACCAGTCAAGATGGATTTGATGAGTTTCTCCACTCTGGGCTGGGAATCT